ACACGCTTGTCCCATCGTCCTTGTCACTTCCTGCAGCAGCGTGGAGCCCTTTCCTGAGTGTCTGTAGTTGTGTTGCTGTGCTTGCCTTGGGTCCTCAATCGGTTCAAAATGTTTATGTTGGTCACTTGGCCCTGGGGCAGAGGTGGAAGTCACGTGGCTTCAGATCCAGTGAATGAGGTGGACGCAGACACAGCGTCCTGCTTTTACGAGCTGCCTTTCCATTGATGGCGCTCGGCAGCAGCATTCACTGCTTTTTATCATGCCTGGAACAGATGCTCAGGAAAGGACTCCAGAGCTGCTGCAGAAAGGCCCAGAATGATGGGATGAGTGTTCTCAAAGCAAGGGCAGGATCTTGAGGCTGATAAATGGCAATGCGTCTTTTAGTAAAACACTCCAAATTTAATCATTCACTGTACATTTTGATTGCATCCCCCAGATGAGGCCAAGGCCACAGTTGTGCTGCCCAGGAGCCCTGGGGTTGGTTGCCCTGAAGGTGACTTCCCGAGGAAGGGAGTGCCATTGAGTAACCCAGGAGAACTGTGGCCTGTGGCACTCGCCGGGGGACTCTGAGAACAGAGCAGACACAGCATTCCCTGAATGGACTGGGCCCCCGGTCAGGAAGGTCCTGAGAGCTTACGAAAGAGAACAGCTTCCGGGGTGGGGCCTCCAAGGCTGTGATTTTAGAGGAAGAGGACACCCTGGTGTGGCCGATTCCAGATACAGAAAGTCCCCACTCGTGGCAAACTCCGGACTGAGGGGGTGGCAGCCCCTCTGTGGAGCCGCCGCGTGGCCGGGGCTGCTGTCTTGGCACCACCAGCTGGGGGTGGACGGGTCCAGCGTCCCCTTGCCGTGGGTCTGAGCCGCAGGCAGGGCCAGTCCCGGCGGGGCCCCTCCTGTCCCCTCACTCCGCTCTCTTTGGCCCTCACCTCCACTCCCGCCCTCAGCCCAGGGCCCTAAGCCTCCGATGTCTCCCAAGCGAGCACGACAGCCAATCCAACCAGGGACCGTCTCACCTGTGTCCGAGCACGGCCACTGCAGCATCGGACCTGGGCTGGGGCAGGTGTGACCATCACGGGGTCAGTCAGTGCCAGGCCAGCCCTCGCTCCTCTGCACCATGGCTGTGACCCGACGGGCCAGGCCTGGCTCCGGGCTGGACCCCCCCCCCCGCCCAGTGCCTCCTGTCACAAGTTTCTCTCCTGGTGAAAAAGCACCTGCTCTCACCAGCAGGCACCACAGGGAGGCCAGCTCCTCCCGGTAACCTGAGCCGGAAGGATTCCTTCAGCCAGCACCGCCCATCCTACAGCACTGCGACACTGAACCCCAACTTTCTCATCTGGAAAACGGGCATCACAGAGGGCAGTCTAAGAGGCTGCTGGGAAGGCTTATGTGGAATAGGTGTTAGCACTCTGCACGGTACCCGCGTGCGCAAACAGTGGACTTGAGCTTCTGTGTTTATTGCTCGGTCATCAACTCCATTGCTTTAGTCCAGGTAGACTTGTCAGACAAAGGTGCCCCAGTGAGGGGCACAACTGTAATCCAAGCACTCTGGAGGCAGAGGCAGGAGGGTCACTGCAAGTCAGAGGCCAGCCTGGGCTCCATGGTGAGTTCAAGACCAGCCTGAGCTACGTGGCCAGACTGTCTGAAAAAGAAACAGAAAAATATCCCACAGGCTCACCACTGTGTGAGGCCTTCCCAAGGGACATTACTGCCAAGTTTGTGGGGGAAATGAAATCTCAGTATCCTCAGATTTAGCCCTTAGGGGAAAAATGGCAAAGGGGAAAATATCAGAAGAACATAAATTTTGTTATGAATGCGGTGATATTTAAATAAGATTTAAATTCATCCAGCTATTAAACAGAAAAGAAGGAGCTGGCATTAAATTCACATAAGTGCCGGATTATGCACCCTGGAGTCAGAAATATTAACTCCGTCTCCAAGCCGGAACAGTGCAGCTGGCTGGGAATAGATTATAAAGGAGATGAAGAGTTGATAGATTATCCTTTCTAACCATCCCCATGGAAAGTGGTAGTTAATAAATTATCTCGCTTGTACTGTTAGTCACCTTTTAACAAGACATAATGAGCAGTCTGCAACAGGTACTCCTGTACATGTGCCACATGGAGGGAGCCCTGGGAGACACCAAGGCAGGGAGCGAAGCAGGAGAGAGCGGGAGGCCAAGGTGGAGCCTGAGTCTCCCGTGGCTGCTGTGCCCCAGGGCCACACCCTCTGCCCCATCCCTGAGGGGCACAGCCAGGGCACTCGGGCCTCGGCGACCCAGGATGAACGCAAAGCCTCGGTCCGGTCCACACTCAGAGGCAGGAGGGCCCGGGCTTCCGGCCTAACACCTTCGGGCCGTTCAGCAGGGTGCAGCCGGGGCAGGGGATGGGTTCATCTCTGCCCCACTAGACTCAGCACACACAGCCCCTGGGTCCCATGGATGTGCACCTTGGCGGTGCACAGGTCCCACAACCTACAGGAAGGAAGAGTCAGGAAGGTCTCTCAGCCCAAGGAAGCGCCATAGAGGGAGGCTCAGAAGGAGCCGTTAGCCACCAGCATGTGTGGCTTCTAATCTCTCTCTCCCGCCTGGGGGCCCCTTGAGATCCGGAGCATCTTGGTTGGGTTCCAGATCCCGAGAAGGGAACCCAGCCCCACCCGGTCCCTAGGGCTCTTGGAGGCCTGGGAGGGGCCCTCTGGGTCTGAGCGCCCTTCGGCGCCCGCGCCCGGCTGGGGAGACTGGGCCGCTGCAGCCGCAGCTGAGGCCCCAGCCTCCAGGCAGGCGTCCGTGGCCTCCAAGGGAGGGAGTGCCCACCGGAAATGACGCGTCCACAGGCTCGCAGCCCCGCCCACAGCACCCGGTGGCGGGGAAGAAGGACCGGAAGTCAGGCAGGAGACCGACAGACCGCCCAGGAGCAGAGGCCCGGCTGTGCCACGTGCAAGTCAGCAGCGAGCCCGGCGGAGGTCAGGAGCGCCTCGGCGGGGCCTGTTTCCTCTTAGTACTTGATCTACACAGCGCACGCGCGTGCACACATACGTGCACACACACACCTGGCCGGGGACCAGGGTCGCAGCTCCGGCTCCGTGGAAGAGACCTCGGAGGATGCGCTGTCGGGCCTGCTGTCCTCTCCGTGTCCACCTCGTCTTCCCCCGCTCTTGGGTTCCCTTTACTTCGTTCCTTCCTGCGAGAAGAAAGGAGGCGTCTGAGAAAGAAGACAGCCTGGCCCTGGGACCCCCGGAGGACGCTCCGCCGGCCTTTCGGCTCCCTGCCTCCCTCCGTCCTCTCTCCCCTCTGTCTCCCGTCCTTCCCTCTGTCTCGCTCTTGCTCTCCCCGTTCTTTCCTTCAGGAAGGCTCCCCCGCCCCGCCCCGCCCCGCCCCGTGCCAGCTGCCCGGGTTAGAAAGGAAGGGTTGAGGAGGAAGCGCGGGGTGGGGCACCCGGCCCTCGCAGGGCGGCCAGGCCAGGCCAAGCCCAGCAGTCAGGTCCAAGTGGCTGTGCCGGCGGCGGGCACCAAGGGGACAGTCCTGCCTCGCAGGTGAGCTGGAGCACAGTTCCCTCGGGAGTGCCCCGCACGCCCCAGCCTGGCCCCGGCTCCTCCTGTGCCCGCTGTGTCCCCGCTGGCCGCATGCTGCAAGGCCCTCTGTGGAGAGGCTCTTGATGGCCCTTGCACAGCCTGCTCCTCTCCGCTCAGCCTCCCTCACGCTGCTCCTCTCAGTGCTCTCCCAGGCGAGGTTTGCACCTGCAAAGGACAGAAGCCGAGAGCCTCCAGGCAGGGCGACGCATGGGGGCGGAGGCAGCAGTGGGTCCATGTCTGGAGGAGGCCTAATGTCCCTGGGCCCTGTCTGCCCTGTATGAAATGCAGTAGCAGTTCCCAGCCTGCCAAGTGTCTGGCCACTAAACGGGACACAGGGCTCTTGTTCAGCCCTGTCGTGTACCTAGTGCTCAGTGAGGGGGGCTCTCTCGGCTCCCTCCCCTCTCCACTCAGGCACACACCAGGGCGGGGCAGTGGCACGGTCTCAGCTCCGAACCCCCCCACTGGCTCCCCTGGGCAAATCCCCACTCCCTGGCAGCTGTGCAGACCACGTGACCTCTCTGTCCTGAGGGCTCAGCTGGAGTCAGGTGCAGGTATGAGCACAGCCACCCTCCCGCCCTCCAGGACCTCAGGATCTGGGGCTCCCCAAGATGCCTGCACCCTCAAGCTGACAGCACAGCCTCCCGCGGATGGCCACAGTCCTGCTTTCCTCTCATGAGAATGGCTCAATTAGGACACACCAAGTACTCTAGGACTGTCTCGATCTCAGGGTGCTTCGCCTAATCACTCCCAGCAGCCCCCATGAGCATGGCCCGAGAGCTCTGACAGATGCCACATAGGGACAAGGTGCTCCTCCACACCTGGTCCCCGTCACCCTCCACAGAGAGGGGAACCCTGTCACTCCTGATGAGTCTGCATGTCATGCTGAGTGACATGAGCCAGGCACCAAAGGGCAAACACTTCGCAATCTCACTGAGGTGGAGCCTAGAAGCATCAACCTCATGGAAGCAGAGAGGAGGTGTTGCCAGGGCAGGGCAGGAGAATGGGTAGATGGTCAAAGACAGGCTCCAGCTATGTCAGATGCATCAGTCCCAGGGACCTGCTGCACACCGTGGTGACTCCAGCTAATAATGGCATATTGTGTGCTTAAAATTTGCGAGGAGAGTAGGTAGTGAATGTTCTCAGACCACACACACACACACACACACACACACACACACGGAAAGGAGAACAAACTTGTGAACAAACTTGAATCTGGTGATCATTCACCATATGCATCAAGACATTATGTTGCACACTTTAAATATCTGAGATTTCATGTACTGACTGCTTGTGTGCCACTACAGCTGGGTATAAAAGGCCCTTGACTCAGCTGACTCTGTGATGTTCTAGATGGCAACTAGTGTAGCAACATCTGCTGCTCTCAATGGGACTAACGATGTATCTCCCCTACCCTGGGGTTCACTCCTTCATAGGTGTCTGACAGATGTGACTACGTCTTTGTTAATGGGAAGGAAATGAAAGGCAAGGTGAACGTGGTGGTCACCTTCTCCTACCAGCACTTGGTCAGCCCTCTGGAGATGACAGTGTGGGTGCCCCGGCTTCCACTGCAGATTGAGGTCTCGGACACAGAACTCAACCAGATCAAGGGCTGGAGAGTCCCCATTGTCTCCAACAAAAGGTATGTCTACACACGGGGATACAGTCGCAGGGACAGGGCAGGTGTGCTAAGACTCAAAGGGACAGGACAGCCTAGCTCAGCCGAGCTGAGACCAGACCAAGGATCCAGGAGTCGTCTTCAGCACCGGGTTTGCCTCCATCCCTCAGCTCTGGGGGCTGCATCTCCAGTTGGACTTCCCTCACCTGCTCCCAAATTTCCATCCTTTCTTCTGTGCAGCTCCTGCTGAAAGTGTGTCCTCCCTTTTCCAACATTTCAGAGACCCCACCTTAAGACTTACCCTCGCTGGGCTATACCCTACCCCTTATCTAATACCATGGCCCAGCAGCTGCAGTACACTCAGGACCTCAGGCTCAGGGCCCAGCTGGAGCCAGAGGAGCTAGTATAGGGGCTAGCTTGCCGGAAGGAGCAAGGGACAGATGTTTCTTGGAGGACATCGAGATGGAGTCTACCTGACACCACGGCCTCTCCATCCCCCTGGTCCAGGGCCCTTGAACTCTGCTCTGGTGAAATCAAATTTAAATCTTCCTTTTTTTGAGACAGGGTCACTCAGTGAACTCACTGTATAGTTCAAGCTGGACTCAAACTTGTGGTGATCCTCCTGCCTCAGCCTCCCGAGTGCTGGGATTACGGGTATGCACCACCAAGCCCAGTAAAATCAAGTTTAGATTTTGACTTCTATTGCCCAGCGCTGTCTCAGACAGAGTTAGGGAGAGCTGCAGGGTCTCCATCATCCACCAGGCAGCCAGTTGATTGCTGGCAAGAAAGTTGTAGGATCTTAGCCTCTGTATCACGACTGGCACCACAGGGGAGGACACAGCAAGTGTACAAAGTTGGCCTGAGCTAAAGGGACGGAAAGAGGCCCACAGGCTGCGGACTTGGCCCAGGATGGGGCAGCTTCTTCCTCGGGAACCTGGACACTCTGTCCCTTCTGCCCTGTGACTGCTGGCAGGAGTGTGGCCGGAGGAGAGGCCGAGGTTCCCTGGAAAGAGCATCAGGGCAGTGACTCCAGAGCACAGGGTTTCTGGTGTCAGGCGGCAAGGGTGGCGCTGGGCCTGGAGCTCAGCGTTGCAGGGGGGAGGCTGCGGGGAGAGACAGCGAGACCCGATGGCCTCACCTAGGTGTTGCCACACCTGCCGGCACAGACACGGCCACGAGCTGATCGGGGTGGCAGTGCAAAGGCTGCTGCACCCAGGCACAGCTGAGGGAGCAGCTGACACCTGCCCGCCCCCACCCTGGGTCCTCTGCCCGCCTCACTGTGAGACCCTTCCACAACTCAGTCCTCGCCTCCTGGGGTGCCACTTCCCAAGGCTGCGCATCTGCCTGACCTCCTGCCGGCTGCGACTGCTGGGTGGGTCAGTGGCTCAGCCTAAAAGTTAGAAATTACCCCAGCTGGGCATTGTGTGCACACCATAATCCCAGCACTCGGAGGCTGAAGCAGGAGGACTGCAAACTAGTCTAGCCTGGGCAACATAGTGACTTAGTGAGACCCTATCTGAAAATTAAGTTACATTACATCAGAAGGGCTGGGGATGAAGCTCAGTGAAAAAGTTCTAAATTTATTCCCCAGTACTTCAGAAATTCTCCAAAAATGTAGCACAGTGTGGAACAGTGGTGGTGAACCTACAGGACGCGGAGCCCTCTCCACTGGCAGGCGAGCCCAGGTGCCCGGCAGGAGAGCACGTTCAGGCTGAATTGCAGTGTTGGCGCTTTGTGATAAACTGTGGGTCTCGGGGTGCATTCGGGCACTCAGTCTCGCATACCTCACGGCTCTGTGCATGGCAGGGTAGGCACAGCCCGGCGGGTGACATGGGGGCTTGGCAGGTTGCTGTCCACCTGTTCGCAGAGTGGTCCCTGGGAAGGAACCACACCAGGTGTCCAGTTCTCAGCCCTGCGAATGTCCCCACAGGGCAGTGCAGGATGCTTGCTTTCTGAGGATGAGTTGAGGGGACAGCCCGAGGGAGAACACAAGCAATTCTGATGCCCCAGTCTTCTGTTTGGTTTGGTTTGGCTTGGTTTTTTGAGACGGGGCTCGCTGTGTGGTTGAGGCTGACCTTGAACTCACTATGTAGCCCAGGCTGGCCTCAGACTTGCAGCAATCCTCCGGGCTCACCCTCCCAGTACCGAGATTACAGGCCTGCACCACCACACCTTGCAATGTCCCAGCCTTTAAAACCACATCCTGAAAGTAGCTGTCGGCTGTGAACAGGGAGAACGTCTCTAAGGACAGCCCACGCTAAGGACAGGTGTCGTGCAGCATGACGCCGGGAGGCGGGTGGCGGGGACCCTGCTGCCACCTCTGTCCGCTGGGTGGCCAGGTCCCAGCTGCGTGGTCGAACACCCTGAGCCTCATCCCTGAGTCTGAGCCGCCCCTCAGCCCAGCTCCCACGTGCCTCCCCTCATCTCTTCCCGCTGACCTCACTCCTCCACAGGCCGGCTCGGGACAGTGAGGAGGGCGACGAGGAGGAGCAGAGGGGCCGAGGCTGTGCGCTGCAGTTCCAGCGCGCCATGGTGCGGGTGCTCACACAGTTCGTGGCGGAGGCGGCCGGTCCCGGTGGACAGCTGGCCTACCTGCTGGGCACGGACTGGCAAGTGGACATCACAGAGCTCATCAGTGACTTCATGCAGGTGGAGGAGCCCAGGATCGCCACACTGCAGGGGGGACAAATCCTGACTGGGCAGGAGCTGGGTATGACCACCATCCAGGTAAGAGCCGGGGCCGGCCCGAAAGCCCACTGACCACCGCCTCTTAGGGCAGGCACGATCGCGGTGAAGCTGTGCTGGAGCTGAGCAGGACTGAAGTAGAGGCTGCAGAGCTGAGGCCCCTGCAGGGGACACTCCAGCCCACCACCTTCCCTCGCCCCTGGTCTCAGCATCCTGGGAAATGAGCTCTGGATGCGGGCTGGCCTCCCTGGCCTTCCCGCCCCAGCCTCCGTCCCTGATGACACGGCCACCACCTCGCTGAAGGCCAGGACAGTGTTCTGACTCAGGCAGACTTGGGGACAGCACTTGTCCTGTGAAGCCAGCACCTTCCTGAGCACGGTGCTGGGGTGGGGTTGCCGTGTCCCCGTCCCATCCCTTTGGAGACACAGGGCCACAGTGCCCCGGTCAGGGCCGGAAGGGTGTCTGACCAGGTGGCCGTAGGGTTCTGCACAGCTGTGCAGGACGGGCCCTTCCAGCTGGCCCTAGGTCTGATCATGGAGCATGTGCAGCGTGTGCCTCTGCGACATGGGCTGGCGTCCGGAGGTGGTTGTATTCAAGGCGCAGGACACAGCCACCCCGGAAGCCACAGGGATGGGTTCCCCCAGACACGAGCTCTGCAGGCGCTCGGCCTCCCTGTCCCACGCGGCGTTGCCATGCACACGCCTTTTAACAGCTTGGCCCTGTGCCTGCGCCTCAGTCGTGAAGTGAATCTGTCGCTGAAGAGAAATCACGCAGCGTGTGCACGTTACTGTGCTCAGGACAAAGAACGGGCAAAGGAAACTGCAGCTTGATGGCCTTGCTTTTATCTGTATAACTCTTAGATGCCGCACTGTACTGTATAACAGAACATAAAGCCACACTACAGTACAGCACAGTCAGGAAAGTTACAGACAGTGGTCCCCCAAAATTCACAGGGGTGACGTTCCTAGAGCACCCGTGAATTGTGAAAAGCCACAGATGTCAGAAAAATACCCATGAATACCTATTTTTATAGTTTAAACCCTAAATATACTATGTCTCCTGCAGTTATGTAATTTAATTTAATAAAATACTGTATTAACAATGGCTCAGAAGGTGCAGGCCATTGTGGCAGCATCTTAGAGATCTTAGGGGTTTAAGAAGAGCAAATCCAAGAACACACACGTTGCAGCAGCCTGTTGGAGTGGGAACCTGGGCATCGACAGGAGAGGGGGCGCAGGGCAGCAGCCAATCAGCGGCCAGGGGAACTGAATCACGCTCTCGGATTGGCCACTTGCAAACCTCCCACCAGAAAACAACTGCAGAGGATATTTGTGGTTTCTCGAAATTGTGTAGTTTCCAAAAGCAATTATTAGTTAGGCTGAGGGGAGGTGTCCGGGGAGACAGAGGGGGTGAAGCGGCCAGGGCCACGCGGAAGCTCCCAGTATGACCTGGGAAGCTAAAGCTCCCTTTCAGTACAAAATCTGGGCTTTTAAAATTCAGATCATTGAATACATTTGCAAACACTCCTTACATTGAGCCGGGCTTGGTGACTCAGGCTGTGACCCTCACACTCGGGGGGCTGAGGTCGTGCCTGGTGATACAGCAGGACCTCCTGCCCAGCCTCCCTCAGGAGTGCGTGACGTATGTGCGGGAGAAAGCAGACAGGGCTCTGGCACCGGGGCAGGGGTGCAAGGTGAGGCTCCCGACGTAGCTCGGGTCCCAGCTCCGTGCCTGCCAGTGCGCAGAAGGTGAGACCCAGCTCGGGCAAGGGGCGGATGAGACAGACCGCGGACCAGGGAGGCTGCCTGGTGGGTTTTCGTGTGTGAGAGAGGAACCCATGGTTCCACAGCGAGTGTCTCAAACCCAGTGTTTGGGGATGTGAAGGCTTTTTAGAAACAAACGGTTCAAATAAAATGAATGACTGTGAGCATGGAGGGTGCTGCCGAGTGTGAAGCAGGGATGCAGAGGAAGGAACAGGAGCCCCTGTCACCGAGAGGGCAGGCAGGGCACCAGGGGAGTCTGAGGGGAGGCCGGGGCGACGGCGCTGCCCACCCTCCCTGAAAACTTGGGGTCCAGAGAAGGTGCTGGCGGGACAGGCCCGGCGCCACGGGGACACAGGAGGCCTCTCTTGTGCTGTCGGTTCTGCCCTCAGATCCTGTCCCCGCTGTCGGACGCCATCCTAGCTGAGAAGACTGTCACCGTGCTAGAAGAGAAGGTGACCATCACAGACCTCGGCGTCCAGCTGGTGACCGGACTGTCCCTCTCCCTACAGCTCAGCCCCGGGAGCAGCAGGGCCATCTTCGCCACCGCGGTGGCTCAGGAGCTGCTGCAGAGGCCCAGACAGGTGAGGGCGGCCAGGTGCGGCCGGCCAGGCCAGGCGGGCTCACAGTCTGGGTGGAGGCTCTGGCCAGGAGTGGCACGGGCACCAGGCGGCTCTCAGGGTGGCGGTGCTCACTTCATGGTGCTTCCGGTGCCCCGCAGGGTGGGGAGAGGGCTGCGGCAGCTGCCAAGTGGGACGCCCGCCTCTCTGTCCTGGCCACACGCGGGGCGGGGGGCTGTGTGTCTCACCCCTGTCCAGGGTCCTGGTGACACACTGGACCTCGCTCAGCCCTGCGGCGAGCCCGGGAGGTGGCCAGGGCACCGGGAGGGCACAGAGGAGGTTCACAGGCTGGCCACTGCTGCCTCACAGGGCACAGCCAGCCTGTGCTGACGTCCACCCAGCTTTCTTCCTTTGAGACCGGTGTGCGCTCTGTGTGTTGTGTGTCTGTGTATGCACTGTGCCTCTGTGTTTCTCACGCGTCTGTGTGCGCATCTTTAAGCATGTATTGCCTGTGTCTGTGCCCAGGTTTGTGTGTGTGCTCAGAGTGCACTGTGCCGTGCGGACCTGCAGGTGTGTACGGTGTGGGTGTTGGTGACAAGGTGGCCACGAGGCGGGGCTGGGATGGGTGCACTGAGGAGCCATTACCCAGTGCGTGGGCGGAGGGCTCTGCTCTCCCTGGGAGCCCTTCCTCCCTCCCCGTCCCGCGCCCACCCAGACCCTGCTGCACCCACCAGGAAGGAGAGCCCGGCTGGCTGGTGGGTGCCCGAGCCACCCGTCCCAGCCCGAGCAGCCCCAGGCCGCGGCCAGCAGGGTCTCGCTGAACAGGGTGGCAGCAGCAACCAAGGAGGGCAGCGACCCCAGCACGCAGGGGAAGCCCAGCAAAATCTGAGCCCTTCCCGAGACGGAAGGTGACCAGCAGGGCGCGGGCTGCCGTGGTGAAGGGGAAGTCGCCGGGCGTCCTCCTGTGGGGCCAGTGGCAGCTCAGGTGACTCCAGTCAGGACCATGGCAGGGACACGTGGCCGCGCAGCTGACGGGCTCCTCGCCTGCAGCTGACAGCCTGGGCATCACAGCTCAGTCTGACGCCTCCATCCCTGCGGGCGTTCGGCTCCACCCTGGCTGCATCAAGAAAGCCCTGGCAGACCTGGGCCGCTGCAGGGATCACAGGGATTGCTGACCAGAGGGAGGAGCCAGGAAACCCGGCTGTGTCTGTCCGGGGCTCTTCCAGGGATTCCCAGCAGCGGCTGGTCCCGGCTGTGACTGACAGGGGAAGCATTTATTGGCTAGGCTGGGGGATAGAGAGGAGGCACCAGCCTCGCTTCAGGAGCCTCCATCCTGCTCCTCTCAAACGCTGGGTGGCAGCAGCAGGGAATCGGCTTCTGTCATGGCCAGGGGCCCTTGGACTGGAAGAAAGAGAGCACAGCTGAGTGTGATGGCACACGCCTGTGATCTCAGAGCTTGGCAGGCCAAGGCGGGAGGATCATTACGAGTTCCAGGCCAGCCTGGACTGCACAGTGAAACCCCGTCTCAAAAACCAAAAACAGACATGGTGGGGGGCACTCGAGCTTACACAGCAAGGGTGCCCTGGGAGCGGGAATGGGGCAGTTGCAGACCCAGTGCGGGACCTGGCAGTCCCTGCCCTGCCCAGTCCTTCCCACCCCATGATGTGAGCTGGTCTTGCTTTTTCTCTTCCTGTGCACAAATGCCATGCCCAAACATTTGCCTATACAAGGGCTGATGCAAAAATAGCATGAGCTTAATTTAAAAATCTATCCGAGTAAAAGACACATTGCCATGGGTCCTCCTCAAAATCGTCCCCCTCACTTGGACCACACTGATCCCATTGTCCTGGCCCCTTTCTGCGGCAGCTCTGGAGTCTTCTTTCGGGAGTGTCTTTACCAAGGGTGATGAAAACTACAGTGACTGCTGCCGAGCGCCATCCAGTGGACAGGCAGCTCGTAAAGACAGTAGAGTGATCTCGTCTGCCTCCTTCACCAGGTCTGGCCCTGGGCAACTTCTGGCTCTTCCCCAAAGCCACTGTGACCATGAAAGGTCATGTTTTACATGGATTCAGGACATTGAGGCAGTCAGGACAGTGCAACTAAAGAAACTCGTGGAAGAGGACTCCAGAGCTGCTGCAGGAAGTGGCCAGTACCACAGGACAGGTGTGCTCAAAGTGAGGAGGGTTATTTTGAGGGGGATTCATGGCAGTTGTCCTTTACTATACATTTCTTTAAAGTTAAACACTGAAGTTTTCTGTTGCACCCCGTACATGATCCACAGCCATTGCCCAGAAGTGGGCCTTCACCCCCCGCTTTGATGGGCTCCCGCTCTCCCAGCGCTAAGGGCTTCCTGTGTCTCCTTTCAAACCGCCAGAGAAGGAGCAGTGAGGATGGGCCGCCGGGTCCTGTTTCCGCTGCTCTGGCTCTGGGCACAGGGTCCCCTGCTGCCCGGGGCTCTGGTCCTCCTGGGCGTGGCAGGGCGGCGCTCCGAGGAAGCGGCCCGCTGCCCGTCCCTGTCCAGGGTGCTGAGGTCCTTGCTGAGCTGAGAGGCTGGCATTGAGTCCCAGGCTGTCTCCACCGCCCCCGCCCCGCTGCTACTCATGGAGAGCGCTGACCAAACGCACAGTGGCGGGGGCTGGGGACGGGTGTGCAGCGGACGCAGCGTGACCCGGCCACCCAGGGTCTCCCGGCCCCTCCCACGGGTGGGGGAGGCAGAGGCAAACCCTCGGCCAAGGGCCACTCAGCTCTGGCCGGGTTAACAGCGTCCCCAGGTGTGTCCAGACCTATTCCTGCCGACCCAGGGGAGGGAGGGCCGCCCCCGCCAGGCCTGTAGCCCTCTGGGGGTCCGGTCCTTGTCTAGATTAGGGTCTCCGTTGTGTGATTGGTGAGCCGAGAGTCGGTGCTGATGCAGTGTAGAAACGGTGCTGTGGATATTTTTCACGTGAATGCGTAAGCCTTGCCGGTGATCCACTGCAGCAACAGCCCCTGCCCTGTGGATCAGGTCCTGTGCGGCCCTTGGTCTCTCCTCTCACACCTGTAGGAGAGACGCGAACCTGCCAGCCCCAGAGGCTGAGTCCCTTAAGGCGGGCGGATGTCGCGGTTTCTTTGGGCTCTGCCTTCTTGCGCGCCCCGGGGACCTTCCCCTCCGTTTCTGGGCCGTTGAAGGAGTCTCCGGCCGAGCTCACCACCTTCTTCTGCCCACAGGAAGCAGCCATCAGCTGCTGGGTGCAGTTCAGCGACGGCTCTGTCACACCCCTGGACATCTACGATGGGCAGGACTTCTCGCTGGTGGCCACGTCCTTGGATGAGAAGGTGGTCTCCATCCAGCAGGACCCCAGGCTCCAGTGGCCGGTCATCGCCGCCCAGACGGAAGGACGGGGCGCACTGCTGAGGGTGGAAATGCTCATCAGCGAGACGTGCCAGAAGTCCAAGCGCAAGAGCGTGCTGGCCGTGGGAACGGCGAGCGTCAGGGTGAAACTCGGCCAAAGCGGTGCCAACCCCAACAACAGCGACACCCGGCGGGCGGGGGTGGCCGGGCACCTGGAGAACGGCGTGGGCGAGGGGAGGTCCACAAAGCTGCTCCCGGAGTGGGGGGCCACGGGGGGCCAGTTCCGCAGCAGCTCCTCCTCCGGGGGTCTCAGGGAGGGCCGGGGCGGTGCCACGCAGAGGCCGAGCCTCTCCCGGGGGCGGGGCCGGGGCCGGGGCGGCTCCCAGGAGACCGTGGACCTCACCGGCTTCCCTGAGGCCGAGGTACCCAGGAGCCACGCGGACACGGAGCAGGGCAACCTGGCGCAGGCGTCCAAGGGCCTGAGCGACCTGGAGATCGGGATGTATGCGCTGCTGGGCGTGTTCTGTCTGGCCATCGTGGTCTTCCTCATCAACTGCGTGGCCTTCGCGCTGAAGTTCAGGCACAAGCAGCTGCCCTTCGAGGAGCAGGAGGGCCTGAGCCACGCGCACGACTGGGTGGGGCTGAGCAACCGGATGGAGCTGCTGGACACCCAGGCGGCCTTGCCCTCCCACCCCGAGGAGCAGGTTACGGCCATCGACCGGGGCCTGGACGTGGAGGAGAGCAAGTATCTCCTCCTGGGTACGGACGCGCAGCCCACAGAGGGCCCAGGGCAGCGGAGTGAGCCCCCGGCGTCCCCTACCTCGAAAAGGAAAAGAGTGACATTCACGACCTTCACCGCCATAGCGCCCGACGCTGGGCGCCCGGCCGAGAGCTCCATGCTGAGGAGCCGGGAGGACGACATCACGTGGGTCTGCCAGGACCCGGACCCCGGCCCGCGCGGCTCCCTGGAGCGGCTGCACGAGGAGGCCTAGGCCCGGCCGGGCGCTCCGCTCTCGTTCACCTTTGGGCCTTTAACCCCAGCACGTGTGGCCACGCACGCCGGGGAGGGAGGGGCGGACGGGCAAAGCTGGCGCGGGCATCGAGGCCCAGGAAATGCCACCCGCGGGCTTCACCAGGCGAGCCCGGAGCAGGACTCTGCTCAGCCCGAGGAGGCGGACGTGCCTGGCGCAGTTGTTAAGTCTCGGAACCGAAATGAGCTCTGGCTCGCTGAGCCCGAGCGTCCCAGGACAGGGTGGGGCCTCTCCATCTTAGTCAAAGCGATTTGGGTTTTGTAGAATCCACAGGGCTCCGGTGATCAGGGCTGAGTGTGCGGACCGGCAGGCAGGAGGAAGTGAGTCCCTGGAAGGGACGGCGAGTGTGACCGTGAGCGCGCGTGGGCACAGCCGGCTCCGGGAGGCCATGATCTCCCGGAGACCAGGGCAGGCTGGCCCAGAGCAGACGAAGGGCAGCGGGAACGGTGGCAGACGGCCACAGCCATGTGTATAGCCACGCCCCAAGGACACTCGCGCATGCGCACGCACACTCGCTGCTCTTCTGAGCGCCCCAGCTCCCTGGGCAGGACTTGCGGCCTCCGTCAGGTTCACAGACCCGAGCGCTTTTCAGTGGGCTCACCCGAGCGAATCCTCACACCGCCAGCTCACCCGTCCAGAAGCTCCGGGCCCTGGGGGCTGGGGTGGGCGGTGTCGACATGCAGCGAACCTCTCTGTCCCGAGCTCCGTGCTGGCTCCGGGTGGCATCCCTCGGGAAGGCGCTGCGGGTCTCGGGCTGCACTGTGTCCAGGTCCAAGCCAGGCCGTGAAGGGCTGGGACTCCAGGAAGTGGCCAGGCCGGGGCTGCACCCTGCAGGCTCGGAGGCCCCGTGCCCGGAGAGGCGGGGCGGAGTGGGCCCCGCTGGAGATAAGGGTGACCTGGGGCCCCAGGCCCCTCGGAGGCCCCGGGATGACAGGCCGGGCTGGGCTGGACAATCCTGGGACCCTGGGGAGGCCCAGCAGGACGGACAGGAGTCGGCTCGCTTGCTGTCCCTGCCAACTTCCTTTTCCTCAGTCACTGCTCTTCCTGTCTCTTCCGACTTCCTTCTCTCTGCCTCTGCTCCCACTTTGTCTGCATCTCCTCCTGCTCCTCCTCCTCCTCCTCCTCCTGCTCCTCCTCCTCC